AGTCGCAGCATGCCGCAGCCCAACCACTTCTCGGCAGGCCCTGGAGAACATCAAGCTTCGGCAGCTCCACCTGCAGCAGAACGAGCTGTATGAGGAGGGCACCCGCCAGGTCATCGAGGCCCACCGGCAGTTGCCGATGCATAGATGCATCATGGAAGCTTAACGATGCACTCCAGGCCTTGGCTTTGCAGTCCAACGGGACGCTTGCGGCACTGAGTCTCGGGCACGACGGCATTGGCGTCGCTAATGTCAAGGCTTTGGCCGAGGCCTTCGAGCTCTGAGATGAGCGGGGATCGGATTCAGAGATTTGCAGACCGAAGCCGAAGCGCGATGCCTGCAACTCTGCATGTAGGCTTTGCGGACAAACAGCGCTTTGATCGAGCTGAACCTGAGCCACGCCTGCCTAAGCAGCGATGACATCATCGCTCTCGCGGAGGCCCAGGGACAAGTTGTACAGGCCTTTCAAGGCTTCCGCTGAAAGGAAGAGTCGCTGCGGCTGCGAGCAAACCGGGTCATCCTGTGCAGGCAATGAAGCAGAATCGGACCCTCAAGCAGCTGAGCCTTGCTGGAAGCAAAATCGGGGAGGAACGCGCTTTCGCCCTTCTCGAGGCTGGCAGCTACTATTGTACTTGCAGCAAGCTCACAGCCACCCCAGAAACCGTTTCCTAAACCCTACACCCCGTCTTTTCCAGCGAGCCTATAGAGCACGCCCTGCAGGCTCTCCGAATAAGTGGGGTGGAGCGGCGGCTCGATCTGACGGGCTGCGATTTGGGCAAGACCCACGTGGCACTGGCCAGGGCCTTCCGGACCGGCCAGGCGGGGTGACGAGAGGTCGTGGCGTGGCTTCTTCCCGCGCTTTCTCTCGCAACTTCCCATCTTCTCTGGCTGTCGCTGTGGGTGCCTTTTCTCTTCAGGTGACCGTCACCCACCCGGCGCTGGAGTTCCTGTGCATGCTGCAGGCTCGCGGCGTGCTCTCTTTGAAGCGTGGCAAGTTCTTCATCACTTCGGGCCCGACCGAATGAAGTCGACGGCAGGGTTCTTAAGGGCAAAGTGTCTCCCGACGAAGCCTGGAAACCGGAACCCCTCTCATTACCATCCACCGGACACGACCTTATGGTCACCTTTGCTCGGCACAATCGCTCGCGTCCTGGTCTAATCGGAGCTCTTCGGACAGCGCCGGGGCCCGGCGCCGCCGGCCGCTCGCAGGACGAAACACTCAAAGAGCTGGAGGAAGGGCAGGAGATGGCGATGAATATAAACGGACGCGGCCGCGGGCTCAGGTATCCGGGAGGCCCCGGGCGCGCCGGGCTCGGGTTCCGGGAGGCTCCAGGCCCAGGCCTCCCACTGAGGCAGCGGTGACGTCGAGGAGTTCCAAAAGCTCTTCGCGCCGCTCTGCCGGGCCCTGCCAGAGCTCCCCAAACTTCGAGTGCTCGTCCTCTTGCTCTACGGCCACGAGAGCCGCTTCGGCCCTGGCCTCGGCGGCCCTTTCCGGAGCGCGCGGAGCGGAGAAGAAGAAATCCTCCTCCCTTCCGCTGGCAGGCGCTGACGGGGCCCGGGCCCTGGCCGCGGGCCTCGGCCAACAAACGGAGCTGGAGCGGCTGACGTTGAATCTGCGTTGGAACTCCCTGGGCCGGGGGCCTCAGCTGCGCGCTCCTCGTTTCGCTTTTTTGACTTCCAGCTTGTTGGCGGCCGCCTCCTGCAAGCCGACCCCATCCATTGTGTCCATCTCCGTTCTTATAACGGGTAGTTAAAGATAGCCGTGGAGACGTAGAGGTGACCTTCTTGTTTGCTGCTTTAGACTGCAGCCAGCGTACGCAGCCCACCATGAAGTCCCAAGCCCCGGCTCATCCTAGCCTGCTCCCGAACGGCCTCGACTCCCGTGAGGTGCTTCCGAGTCTTGGAATCACGCGGCGGCTTTCTTGAGATTTCGATTCCTAAAAACCCTCGTGCCCAGATGCCCGTTCCCGTCCCTTCAAGAAGGCCGCCAATTTCCTTCCCCTTCGCTGTGCCTCGCGACTTTTTTCCAGCTGAAAAAGGCAGCTGGAAGCAGCCCTTGAGCAGTCACGCCCCTGCGGGCA